TAGCTGTAACTTTTATATTTTTCGATGAAATGCCTTGAAACTCATAACATAAAGGAATATTAGTAGTGCAAACAAGATGACATGGTCAAATTAGCATGAACTCATGCGCATGCACCAGCGCTTTGTTCCGATTTGATGAAACAAAAATCTTAATATCTCCTTTGTTTTTTGACAAAATACTTTGAAATTTTAGGTTAAGGTATATAATATAAGGTTCTACAATATGTTAGATATGAAAATTCTTCCGAATCTGTAAACCGCAGAGATTCCAAACCTTCATGAGTGCCTTCGACTAATTTAGTACACTTTTCAATCTATTCAGTGCGAAGGGATTCTTTGGCCCCCTTCTATGAGTTACTGTCCCTGAAAGTTTTTGCTGCTTCAATTTAAATGAACTTTTTTTTCAAAGGGTGTATGCTACAGACATGGGACCAACTGCATTGGCATGTTTGACCTTGAAATGTAGGTCAATGTCATTTAAAATGAAAAGAAATTCCTTATATATATTTAAAAATGAAACAGTTAACTAAATAACCTTGTGCTGTTCTTTCTAAACTTTTTTTACTACACTGCATTTTCGATGATTTCCCTCTATTGTTTTTACTTCTCCAGGTGCCCCAGTCTAAAAAAAATAGCGCCACACGATGTTTCATAAAATGGAGGTAACTCTAAAACTCAGACTTGGTGATAGGCATTCATGTGCATTTTCTTTATCAGAAAGATAAAAAAAATAATATTTAAAAAGAACAGCTAGAGGAATTGATTATATGCAAGGAAATAGGAAATTTTGAAAGGATGAATTCTTTCTAGCTTCAGAAACGATTCGGTTTTTGACATCTTACATTACTAAGATACTGCGCTATGTCTTATTTTTTGTAAATCATTTATTTTATAGGGAACATGTTGAAGATCATCCCCTAAATTACATATGTACCGAAAAATAAACTCTCAAGATATTGATCATTAGTCGACTGACTCTCAATTGTCACGCTTCATGGCATAATTGCTGATCAACAACCGTGTTGTTGTTTAGCATAGTCCGCTTTCTCTCATGAGGTGCATGCCAGTCATAGTATAAACACAATTAACTACTCAAGTCATGAAAAAGTAGGTGTCAATACTGAAATGCAATAAAAATTTATTCATGGCGGTCGCCAATTATGACCATGGTGCAGCTAGTTTAACCATGGCGCACATAAATTTTACCATGGTGGGCCGCCATGGTAAAACCCGTTATGGAGAAGCATGCTCTTCCGAAATTGTGAAATGTGTGGCCCCAGGGTCAGGGGTTCTTGTGGGGTGGGGGCTCTACTGATTATAAAGTGAAAATGCATTATTTTTAGCTCACCTGAGCTTTCACATTTTCATCTTCTTCTCAAGAACCACTGGGCCAATATAAACCAAACTTGCCGCAAAGTATCCTTGGGTAAAGGGGATTCAAGTTTGTTCAAATGAAGGGCCACGCCTTCTTCCAAGGGGAGATAATTATGATTTTGCAAAAAATTAATGGCATCATTTAAAAATCTTCTTATCAAGAACCACTGTGTTTGAAAGTATGAAACTTACATAGAATCATTGTGAGGAAGTGTAGATTCAAGTTTGTTCAAATCATGACCCGTGGGGGGTAGGGTGGGGCCACAATGGGGGATCAAAGATTTACATAGGAATACATAAGAAAAATCTTCTTCTTAAGAATAGCAAAGCCATGATTATTAGACGCATTTATATGGAAGCATCCTTAGATAGCGTAGATTCAAGCTTGTTTAAATCATGACCCTCGGGGGTAGGGTGGGGCCAAAATGGGCAATAAAAGTTTTACATATGAAAAAATCTTTAAAAATCATCACAAGAACAACAAAGGCATGATTGGTCATAATAATATAAAAGCATAATCAGTTAAATGTAGATTTATATTTGTTCAAATCATGCCCCCCCCACCCCCACCCCCTCAGGAGAATAGAGGGGCCATAGTAGGGGATCATAGTTATACAAGGGAATATAAAGGATATATCAATAAAAATTTTCATCTTAAGAACAGCAAAGCCATTACTGTAAACCAACTATTATTCGCATAATTTTTAATTTTCGATTCGTCAGTTTGAAATCAATCAGCGATGAATAATTTTCGTGCCTGAGGAAACATTCCCAACAAATACAAAGCAAAATAAATGGTACATGGTGGTTAATATTCGTAATTAATATAGGTCGCTAAACTCGCGAATATTTCTCTCACGCCAATAAAATTTGGTATATAGTATGTGTCATATTAATTCAAAACCATCCTTAGAAAGTTTGGATTCAAGCTTGTTCAAATCATACCCTCCCCAACCATTTTTATATTTAAACTTTTCAATACTAAACTGATTTCTGCTTTTTCCTAGCTAAAGTGCTCAGGTGAGCGATGTGGCCCTTGGGCCTCTTGTTAGGGCCCCGCAAGAATTTGCGGGTGCCCTATAGTAATCACTCTGTCTGTCTGTCTGTCCATCCGTCTGTCATTCTTCCATCCACAAATTTTCTGTTTTTCTAATAATTTTTTTTATAGTTGACCAATTAAGTTCAAATTTGGTATGTTGGTTGAAGAGGCAGTAAGACATATTTTGATGCTAAGTTTGGTTCTCTATGTCATCCAGTTTGGAGCTGGAGTGGTGGGGTAGATTCCTTAACTTTACATTAGAATGAATGCCAGGGCAAAGAGAGATAACTGCTGAGAATGTTCCTATTGTAAACTATGAAAGCTACAGCTAGTCCCGTGGGATTAATTAACTTTCCTCTTAAAGAAAATCCAAAGCATTATCTGTTTCTGTCAAATTGAGATTAAATAACACTTCTGTCTGCAAATGAAGTTTGTTTTGAAGTTAAGGTCAATTCTGAATGATTTTTACTTTCTCTGAAATGTGCTTTATTTTGGTAAAATACACAATGAGTTATGAATTTATTGAATTCTAAAAACAAAGATATACATAATGATATCTTTTTTATTTTTTAATTTATTTTTTTATTTCTTTCTTCTTTTTTTGACTGCCTTTTGTAAATTCAAGAACACTATTAAGGAGGTTGGATCCTGCCATCAAAAGTAATGAGAATTTTTTATCAAGTATATTTTTAGAATTTATACACATAGCTTTATTAAAAATCAAAACAAAAAATGGGGGTCAATGCACTTCCTTTGGCGCTACAGAGCATTTAGTTTGACCTTTTTGCACTGTAAATACGTCTTACACATAAATCAATTTTTAAAGTTTTTCCTCCAATATTTTTTGTTCAAATAAATTATGGGAACAAAAACAGTCTTATTTCATCTGAAATAGACACATTAAAATTTGTGACAATGAAGAAATTTTCAAATTACTCCGCATGTTCAATTATTTGACCTTTTTGCACTAAAACATTTTCATTTTTCTGGCATTAAAAATTTAACAAGGAAAAAAATCATCTGAAAGTAATGACATTTTACTGAATTTAAGATTAATGGTTAAAAGTATCGTATATATTCAGAAAAGAAAATTAAAAGTGAGGGTCTGTGATGTTAATTTTTAGATATAACTAAAATAGTGCTAATTTTAAGCTAAATTAGGACTTTTTTTTCCCTTCATTTTCACAAAATATTTGCTATATTTATCAAATATGATGATAGAATTCATGACAGTTTATCTAATAGACAATTTAGGACCAGTATAAAACAGTCCACTGCACAAAATAACTATGTGTGCAGACTGCATGTAAAAATAAGAATCCAAACTTAACATACTTTGAAAGAGAAAATATGATCATTTTCTTCTAAGAAAACCTTCTGCCACAAAATATAGTTCCTCACTTAATGCTTTTGGTATGGAATTTAATCGTGTAGTTTTAACTGAATATAGTTAAATTGGCATTGTAGAATCCAAATTTATTGTAAGAATTAAAACATTATGCAGAATTTTTGAAATATAGGTTAAGATAAAAATCTGCTCAAAAGCTCAGGAGCGAACCTCGTTAATTTTAACAGGTAGCCCAATAATAACCTCATTCTATCATTACTGAAAAAGTTCTTTTGAAGACTTGGAAGAAAAGGATGAGAGAGCAGTACAATTAATCCCCTGGGATTAATCATCTTGTCTAGTGCAGAATATTTTAGAGGCTTATATTTATTTGTCACTTTAAGATAAATTAACACCTTTGTCAGCAACTGATGTTTGTTTTGAAGTTAACTTAAGGTCAAGCCTGGGTGATATTTGCATTTACTGAAGGCTGGCATTTTATAAAACACATGCTTTAAATATACCTATAATTGAGTTATTATAGATATAGTGTTTTTTACTGCCTTGTGTAAATACAGGTATACTTTTTACAGGTTGTTGGATATTCAGGAATTATCTTGAAATTTTATAAACACAGTTGTTGTTGCATATTCTTCTTCATACATGTATATTTTAAAATTTTTGTAATCAAGTAAAATTCTCATTCTGTAAGCTGCACTCTTATATTTCTACCCTTCGGCGGGGCCCTTGCTGACTGGTCAGTTTTCTAGTTAATCCTCTGCTCTGCTTCTGGGTATCAAGTAAACAAAGTGTATACTTATGGTGAGCAAGGGTGCCTCTTTCAAAATTGTGAATTTCATGGCCTCTGGTTTAAAACTAGAACCCAATTCAATTGTGGGAAAGTTGTTACATGATACTCAAGTGACCTACAAGGCCCATGGGCCTCTTGATAATTTTATATTGTGATAACAGATTATTTTTCTTCCTTTTCTCCATGTTAAAACTTCTTCATGTCATGGTTTGACATAATTAAAAATCAAGCAGTGCTTCATACGTCATCCTTATATTTTTCCTTTGAATCTAATGCTAATAGTTCTAGATAAAAATCAATGTTGGAAAGTTTTTTAAAAAAAATTGTGAAAATTAGGGAGAGGGTCATTACTCCTTAAGGAGCAACCAGAGTAAAAAAAAAAGGTCTGTTCTCTAACTTTGTTTTGGAACATGGTGCATCAGTGTATTTCTTTGTTTTCTTTTGTACAGACCCCTGAAATCTCTACAGAAGTATCAAAGTTCCTGGATATGTCACTATCATTCAACAACCGCTTCCTTGCCATGTTTACAGACAAAGGGGTGATATGGATAGGCTCCTCAGATCTTCAGGTTGGTAACAAATAACATTTGAATGATATTTCTTGATTAACTTTCTCAAATATGGCTTTTTAAATTTGATTTCCTTCTTTTCATACTGTAGAATGTTGTCACAGAGAACTCCTATATATATTATGCAGTACATTGTATTTGACATATTTTATAGAAAAAATACTGTGAATTCAACACGAAATCTCCAACTCCACCTCAGCAACTCTCCTGGTAAGCTAGAGATTTTTCTTTTTTGGGCCTTGCAAGGATTTGAGGGTGCCCTATAGTATCACTCTTTCTGTCTGTCCGTCTGTTTAGCTGTCTGTATGTCTGTCCATCTGTCATTCTTCCGTCCACAAATTTTCTGTTTGTTTCTAATAACTTTATTTAGGTCACCTGAGTCACTCAGGTGACCTATTGCTATCTGTTTTCATCTGTCGTCATGCGGATGTGCATCGTGCGTAAACTTTTCACATTTTCGACTTCTTCTCAAGAACCACTGGGCCAATTTCAACCAAACTTGCCACAAAGTATCCTTGGGTAATGATGATTCAAGTTTGTTCAATTGAAGGGCCAAGCCTTTTTCCAAGGGGAGATAATTAAGAATTAGTGAAAAATTAATGGCATCTTTTAAAAATCTTCTTCTCAAGAACCACTGGGCCAAGAAAGATGAAACTTATATGGAAAAATCCTCAGATAGTGTAGATTCAAATTTATTTAAATCATGACCCCCGGTGGTAGGATGGGGTCACAGTGGATGATCTAAGTTTTACATAGGAATACATTGGAAATATCTTTTAAAATTTTCTTCTCCAGAACCACTGCAGTGGTAAAAAAGATGACACTTAGGTGCAAACATCCTCAGATAGTGTAGATTCAAGTTTGTTCAAATCATGACCCCTGGGGGTAGGGTGTGGCCAAAATGGACGATCAAAGTTTTACATAGGAATACATAGGAAAAATCTTTAAAAATCTTCTCCAGAACCACTGGGCCAAGAAGGAAGAAACTTGTGTGCAAACATCCTCAGGTAGTATAGATTCAAGTTTGTTCAAATCAAAACCCCCTTGGGTAGGGCAGGACCACAATGAACGATCAAAATTTAACATGGAATACAGTACAGCTCACAAGTTTCTTCCACCCCACCGTGGAAAACACATGGTGGAAAATACCCCGTGTTACACCATGTACACGGAGTTCCACCGTGTGCGTATATTGCGATTACACCAAAGACGCACCGTGTCACACCGTGGACATTACCGTTTCATCGGGTGACCCTCCGTTCCACCGTGCAAGAAAATTACGGAAGAAAATGGTTTGTTTATAAAAATAAAATTAGAATTGAAATTATAGGTATGTTGGTTTAATTGCTAGAAAGAAATAGTAAATGAAAAATTATTTAATTCAAACAGCTCACTATCATACATATAAGGTCGTAACATAACAGCAGCGTTCAGTGTAGACTTTGGTTCACCGTTGACGGTATACATGTATATATCAATTGAATAAATTTATTTTGATTTCTGTTGAATTCATATTTCATATTCAATTGAAAACAAAAATAACATGTCGATTGTGCAAATTAATATATTTCTGACGTATGCTATAAGTGCGCAGGTACAAATCCAAGTACAGGTACATTGTCTTTGAACTTAATAATTATTCAATGTAAAACATAGATACGGATCGATAATTTTAGTTGTTATTTTCTCTGTGAAATAATATGGTATTAAAGGTATTGAGAGTAAAGGCATTTACAAATAATACCTATGATATCAGATAATTAATTTAGCATCATCTGATCACTACATCATAAATAATAATAGTGAAAAAAATTGTCGAGTCAGTATATTATGATATTCATATGGTATATGAATAAAGTCTTATTTTGCAGAAATAAAATAAAAAGTGTAGACCACTTATCAATGAAGATACTAAGTTGCTACATGTGAGGAAGAAAAAGTACATGTACATGCAAGAAAAAAAAAAGAAGCAAAACACATAGCATTCACTAAAAAATCTTATACTTAGTTTGGTAGTCGTAAAATCGGCAAATTCACATGAAATTCAAGCAGTTGTATGCATCCATTGATTAAACATGACATTAAGAGACATAAATGTAAAAAAAATTCAATGTTTGAATGTTTATTTCTGTCGAATATGTAAAGTGTCAGTATTTCTATCTGGGTATTTTTTTTTTATTACTACTTAATCTTCTACGATCAGTACGAAAAGTAAAAAAGAAATCACTTGAACTGCCAATGCAGCATTCTTAAAGTTCTTTTACAAATTATATACTATTCACTTTTTTCGTAATAATTAAAAATTATTTTGAATTCCATATTTTATAATGTTAAGATATGAGAGAGAGAGAGATATTTTACTTTCAGGTTCATCCTTCTGTTCTTTTTTTTTTTCTTCTCATATACATATAATGTATCTCTCTCATTTTTTTTTTTATGAAATCATAGTTCACCTCCAGTTTTTATTAATCGAAAAGAAATAGAATCGGTGCAATTTAGGTACAAGTTCAACGCATCACACACGGAATCCACGTGCTCTACCTGTCAATCAAATACCGGATATCGATGAATTGCAGAAACTTCTCGTGTATGTATAAAGTCGCTGCTTGGCTAATATATTTCACACCTGTTCAGAAGAAAAATATATTGGGACATTCAGTTGCTGTGGCCCTTGGGACATTATTCACATGTTGAAACTCTAGACGAGTGTATACTATACACCTCAACTGGCTTCGAAACTAACACGTGTCGGGAAGTTAATTGGAACTTGAAAAATAAACAACTACTAGTATTTATTTTTATTGTTTATAGAATTTTTAGTACAGCAACATATTTTTAAAAAACAAGTTACAGTTACAAACGAATATTATTCGAATATTATTCTACTGTATCTAGATTATATAAAGTCGTTATACTGTAACATAACTTACTGGTGAAATGAAGAAAAAAGAAATCATAACTCTCCCTGTCGTAAAATTGTCTCTCTTTCATTGATTTTATTTATCATTAAAATGCTGTTTTTGAAAAGGATTAGAATAAATCCTTAAAAAGGACAGGTAATACAATAAATAGGCGTATGTAAATATTGTTCTTTTTTTAACATGTCCGTGTAGAAATTATCCATAAAACTCATTATGGAAAGGGGGGCTGTTATTACATGTAGGGAGAGCACATATACAGTATGCTTGCTTTTATTTAATGGTTTGAAAAATCTCCGCTAGGTACTAGTAAAATATAAAATCTTCAATCTAGTTTTTCATATCTCCTATTCATATGCCTAGTTAGGCAGTGAACCTATTAACAATTATAGACTTTATTTTCATACACGTTACGGAAGAAAACTGTTTGGCTTTTTACATCATTGTTTAACATAGAACATATTGCAGAAATTTCATTTTCATTGAATAGTATCATTAGAAATTTTTTCCATTTTCGACGTCGACAATATTGTTAAGCATAATTATAACGTTTTACATCTTATCGTTTACATATTGTGATTATTCTTGGCGACAAGTTTTGTGAAAATGTTGTGCCCATGCTTCGATCTGTACACAAAATGCAAATTAAATATTAAGGTTTATAATTTAAACATAATTCTGAACAATTACAAACAGACACAGATGAAAAAGTGGGGCATCTTCAATACCTGAATATCAACATTTCATATTTTCTGATGGACTGGGCAGAGATTTACTCATTACACAGAGACTACATCGGGTCTCATCTCAATATGGGTTCCATTACAGGACGGAAATTTAAGTCAATCTTTTCATAGCTATTTTTTTCATCCGATTCAAATTAAATAAACAATATATTTTCTGTGTCATATTTTGATGTAGTAATTATTTACATATACACCAGTTTCTACAGTAATTTATAATTTTAAAAAAAGTACATCGGATAAGATAATCAATTGACAATTCCACATAGATTTCCTGAGCATAGTACAAATGCAGAATATTCCTTTCTTATTTTTTTTTAATTTAGATTTAGCTTTTGTTTTACAAAGAAAATAATCTTTAAGAAGATATCTTCCAAATAACACAAGATTGCTGACTGCTTTGAAAAATTCCGTCTTTGTTAAATTCATTGACACATCAGTACAATTATATCGAAAGTAGGAAAATGTACGCTGCGGATGATATGCATTTCAATGATTTTTATTCTAAAATCTTCAATGAATTATTTTAAAGTAATTTCAAAGAGTTCCACGGAGCAAACGCACCATGTCCCACCGTGTACACACCGTGTCACACCATGTGCCAGCTTAGCGCTGAAAACGAAACATCAAAGACACCGACATTTTTCAAAGTCCACGCAAAAGCGTGGACCAAGGGTCCACCGTGGCCGGTGTTTTCCGGAAGATACTCGTGAGCTGTACTGTACATTGGAAAAATCTTCTTATCCAGAACTACTAGGCCAAGAAAGATGAAACCTCTGTGGAAACATCTTCAGGTAGTGTAGATTCAAGTTAATTTTTTTAAAATCATGATCCCCGGGGGTAGGGTAGGGCCACAATGGACAATGAAAGTTTTACGTTGAAATACATAGGAAAAATCTTGAAAAAATTCTTTTCTCAAAAACAGCAAAACCGTGATTGGTTATATTTACATGGAAGCATCCTCAGATAGTATAGATTCAAGTTTGTTCAAATCATGACTCTTGGGATAGAGTGGGACCACAATGGATGATCAAAGATTTACACATGAATACTTATGAAAAATCTTTAACAATCTTCTTCTCAAGAATAGCAAAGCCATGATTTGTCTTATTTATATTTAAGCATATTTGGGTAATGTTAATTCAAATTTCTTGACCCCCTGGGGTAGGGAGGGGGCACAACAGATGATCAAAGTTTTTTAATTAGGAATTTATAGGAAAGATCATTTAAAAATCTTCTCAAAAACAACAAAACCATGATAATTAAGCCATTTTTATACAATTTAATTGAACAGTCAGGTAATCACTGCCCCGTAGGATCTGACATGCATTGTTACAATTTTTTTTTTACACATAGGGTCATCATGACCTTTCCTTGGTGCCAGCTTTACAATAGACAACAGCTGTATAATTTTCATTACATTTATTAAAGACTTGAACAAAAACATATACAATCTTGCATTACTCATAACTGTGATGGACATCAGGGAATTGGCATTAAATGGCCGCATTGCATAAATGTACAATCAAAAAATAGGGTCCAGGAGGGA